CAAAAGCTAAAACCAGAAGTCAGAGAATGTTCTTGCCTTGTTTGACCTTGGCTGGAACCATGTATGTCATGTGACTCAAATTTTTTGCTACTTTGTACATTGTCCATGAATGAAGAGGAAACTACTGTGAGTACTGATTTTGGTGTTACAAATTTTAGCAAGTAGGAGCATTCACAAATATGGAATCCATGAATAATGAGGATCAACTGTATTTATCTGTACTATTCTGCTAATAATTATATGCATTATAAAGCTTACACAAAAAAATAGAAATTAACATGTCAGACATCTTTTCTTACTATCTCTTCCTCTACTCTGTCAAGTGAAGAGGTGACTTTTCTCCTTGCCAAAAACTGTTCTTTTATATATACACCCTTGACCCCATCCCTCCTATCCCCACCCCTTCTCTGATCTTTAATCTCTTGTTTATCCACTGGCTCCTTTTTTGCTTCCTATAAACACTCAAATGTCTTCCCTGTTCTTCAAAGACCCTCTCTTGATCCTGCCATACTCATTAGCTATATCTTATCTCTCCTCATCTTCTCAGCTATATTCCTTGAGAAAATCATCTATACTTAGTGTCTTCGTTTCTTCTCTTCTCATTCTTTCTAAACCCTCTGCAGTCTGGTTGCTGACCTTATCATTCAACTGAAAATTCATCTTCCAAAGCTTCTAATGATCTATCAATCGCCAAATCTAAGGAACTTTCATCAGTACTTTTTGACTCTTCTGCAGCACTTAACATCATTTAAATAGCCTTCTGTATACCTTCTCTCCCCTTTGGGTTTTTGTGACCCCAAACTCTGCTCTTCATCGTGACTTCCATTCCCTCCAACCCTTGGTTCTTTCCTAGGCCATCACCTCTGCACTGGCTACATTCTCTTCTCTTTCCAATATCTACCTTATTAAATCAGTTCAGCACTATGCAATCTTTGCTTCAGCAAGTTAGTCCTTCTAGTCTTGTCTGATCAGTTTGCTTAATTCTGCTCTTCAGAACAACCATTCCAAATCTTCTCTTCTCAAACATTCCACAGCATCATCTCCATCCACCCTCTTACCTTAAGACCTTGCTTCATACATTGCCAAAAAAAAACCCCAATTTAAAAATTGACACCATTTGTTGAGGACTCCCATTTATCTCTTCGTCATCTCACATCACTCAGACGTCTTCAACTCTCCACTGTTTCTCCTTTCACTCCAGTCTTAGTTTAAGAGGTTACCTGTTTCCTTACCAAGGCAAACCCTTCTGCATGAGTCCTTGATCTCATCCTTTCCTAATCTTCCCAGATAAATGTCCCCACCATTATTCCCATTCTCTCTTATCTTTACTTTATCTACTGGATCCTTCACCTGTTTTCTACAAACATGCCCATGTGTCCCTCATCCTTAAAAAACTATTTTTGATCCAGCCATTCCACTAGCTCTTTGTTGTGGCTCAACTCCTTAAGAAAAAATGTTAAGAATCCTCTCTATTTCCTATTCTTTTACTCTCTTCTAAGACTTCTGTTATATGGTTTCTGACCTCACTGTTCAACTGCAGTTACCAGTTATGCCTTTTTTTCTCCAGTTATTTCTTAATTGTCAGATTAAGAAAGAGGAAAATGACACAAATGTACAAAAAACATTTATAGCTGCTATGAATTTAGTATGTCTAAGAATTGAAAATTGAGGAATGGCTAAATAAATTATGGGATATGAATGTAATGAAATACCATTGTGCCATGAGAAATTACAGAAAGGATGATTTCATAGAAATATGTAAAGACTTATATAAACTGATACAGAATGAAGTTAACAGAGCCAGGAGAAAAATGTACATAGTAATACAACTTTGTAAAGACAAATAACTTTGAAAGACATAAAAACTCTGATTAGTGTAACGTCCATCCATGGTTTCAGAGGATTGGTGATGAAGCATACTACCCCTCTCCTGACAGAAGTAATGAACTCATGGCCAGTGTGGGAATCAGTTTTGCTTCAATATGCATTGTTGTTACATGATTTTTTTCTTCTTTTGAGGTATGGAGGGGAGAGGGAAAGGAAATGTGTTTATTAGTTGAAGAAAAATTTTTAAGCTGTTTAAGATATCTGAAGAGAAAACATTTTACTGTTCTTCAACTCTGAAGAGAAAACATCTTGCTATTCTTCAGATACTTGAAGAAATCAAATTCTGACTTATGGAGAAAAAGAGGCAATCCCATTCTTTCCTCTTTTTCTTGCTCTTTGTTATTTCCTCTTGTGATTTCTTTCTCATAATGCAGAACATATAGAGACACCCACTGGTAAAGTTGATGCCTCTGGAGCTTGTCTTACATCATTATTAAAATGGGAACCTGTTAGGGCAAAGTAATAATGATATAAAATGCTTTCCTTTTTTTCTATTTGTTTAAGAACAGAATTGCTAGAGATATTTTTCAGATGTTAAGCTAATGGCCAATAGGAAATTTCATCTTTATTCTTTGGTTAATAATTTTTGTAGAATTTGAAATCATGGCTAAAATTGGATCTTTTCTAATTATTTCAGTTTCACATTGTAATCATGTATTATTTTTATTTGAACCCTAAAGGTCCACAGTGGACATATTATGACTGCAACCTAGGGTTAGAAAAATGTATATATAGTTGGTAAAGTTTGAATTCTGTGTAATTTGAGTCTCTTCTTAAAAACAATTACCTTTAATTGCAGGAGAAAAACTTGTATAATCACCTTTTCAGGTAACTCAGATTTCCCTTTATTTTACATTGTGGGAAATTTAGTTCTTAATGATATTTGGATTAGATTACTCATGCTTTAATTTTATAATGCTTGTTGGCAAGTTCAGTAACTTCTTGTACGTCTTTCCTCAAAGAAATTTCACATCTTTCAATTTTAATCAAACGCTTAAAAGTTTTGTCAACTGACCACTAATGGTCAGTGTATACTGTATGGTAACAAACCAATCCACAGATACTTAATTTAGTGATTATTATTGTCAGGACACTATGCTATGCATTCTTGGGGGTACAAAGAATACAGTGTCCCTGTTCTTAAAAAAAAAAAGCTTACAGTGTAGTTTAAGAAACAGAACTCTCAAATGGATCTGTGATCTTATTAATGTGGATATTCCTTCATACCCCAAGTGATGCCTGCCTATTCTGTATGTCTTTGTCATTCCATATGTTTACAGGCAGACAGTGTTTTGGAGACTTTCCTCAATTTCTTCTGACATTGTGAGGATAATAATAGAGTTCATAGGCTGTCTTTTGGTTTTCTCTCATTCTCACCCATTTACCAGCCATTTTCTTTTTCTTTAAAACATTTTAATGACATTTTTAAATTTTATTTTTCCCTTAAAATGCTTTATTTATCAATTTGTTGCAGCCAACTCATGGCTACTTATGCTCCTTTCTGTTACACTTTGAGTGTTACTCAGTTTCATTTTGGTGGCTATGACATTCTACAAGTCAATGCCTTATAATGATACCAGAAGATATTGGTATTAAAAATATGGGTATGTTTTATAGTAAAGCAGTTCCTGTAAAGCAATTCATCCTTTTCTCTTCTTTATCTTTACTTCTGTGCCCAATTCATTTTTGTATGCAACGATTGTATAATAAATGAACATCTACACATACTGACAGACTCAATGCTATAGATTGTCAATCCAACTGCATATCATAATCTGGACAACAGACATTGCAGCTTGATTAGTACAAATGAGAAATCCCCTTGATGGGTCACCTGTGTTTGAATTTACTCTACTTGAAGTTATAATTGTGTAAAATATAGCAATTGGTTCCAGCTCAGTGGAAATATGCAGCACGAATTCAAATAATGCAGCTGTTTCAGGGGGATTCCATATTTGCACTAATCAGGATCTAGCTGTATTCATCTGCTTGGTTATTCCTGTGTAGAAGTTAAGTTGAACTTGTTTAGTGGTTATTGAGGTTGCTCAGGATTCTCTTCAGTGTTTCATTTGCAAAATGTCATCTGCAAACAGTAGCATTTGGAAGAGTCCATTATATGTAATCTCTCTTTTACTTGGCCTCTGTACTAGATCACTTATGTCAGTTTGGTGCTTTGGTGAGCATATTACTCCCTGATTTATGCCTGAAGATCAGAAGGTTATTAAGTGAGGATATTTTTGTTGTATAGCTTCAAGGAATCTTGTATAAATTTAACGTGTGCTTGAGAGATGCCTCATAATCAACAAAATAAGCATCATGGAATCTTGTATTTTCTATATCTTCAGTCAACCATGTATAGGTAAAGATGTGGTTTATTGTGAAATATCGTATAAGAAAACCTTTCTGCCCCTTTCTCACACCTTCATCAATAATGCCTTCAAATATACCCATAGATTTAAAAAAAAATTCCCTTACTGTTATGAATTTAACAAACATCAGCATTTCAGTATATATAGAGAAACAGAAAAAAGAATTGTATATGAAATTGTGAACTGCTTTTTGTGTGTATTATTTTCATAAAAATTTTATATTGATGGGAAAATAGGGAAGGAGGATTTAACATATAAAATTGAATGGTATTAATTGACAAATGAGTGGCATAAAAAGTAATTGCTACATTACATATGTATTAGAGCACAAACATCAAGAATTAAGAAATGTCACTTTATATTTGTATAGACAAAGAAATATTGGTAAAGGAAAAAGGATTTATCCAAAGCATGAGTTATTAACTTGGCATTCATGGACCTCTTGGGGTCTGTAGATAGATTTCAAGAGTCTTTAAAGTTGAATGGGAAAAATTATATGATTTTTTCAAAATAATTGATTTCGTTTGTTATCATATATGTTATTTTATGCATTTAAAAACATAATTCTGAGAAGGGGGTTCATGGGCTTCACCAGATGACCAAAAGGTCCATAACATGCAGAAAAGTTAAGAACCTCTGATCTACAGTTAAGTTATATGAATAGAAGCAAAAAGGTTGTAACTTGCCAAAGTAAAGCTGTACTATAATAACTTTTGAACAACTCTTTCCTCTGGTGATTTTCAGGTCAGCTTCTCCCAAGCATGGATTCACCATTATGAATAGGCTCAGCATGGAAAACAGGACTGAACCCATCACTAAAGACCTGGATTTCCAACTTCAGGATCCTTTTCTTCTATATAGGAATGCCAGATGTGAGTAATTCTCTAAATGCACTAGGAAGTTGATGTTTCTTCTGATATTCTAATGTGTGTTTTAAATTGCGCTGTAGAAACCTTTGCTGCTTCATGTCACTGGTTCAGATAGTCAGCATTGGTTAGCTTAGGAAATGCTTACCTGATTTTTTCTCTCATCTTTGTAGATCTTTATTAGAATACTGTACATATGTATCAAGGATACCTTTCATGAAAATATCACTAGGAAACAGGTAGTCTTTAGCAAACATTTTTCAACAGCAGGACATATCCTTACTCATACCTGTATAAACTGCATTGTTTGTCAATTACAAAATAGTAATAAATAAAATAAATTTTTAAAAAAACATTTGACTCAGCAGAGCAAACACAGGTCTGACCTCTTATTGTATGCTTAACCAAGCATCACTGTAGTGTTCGATATAGAGAGCCTGTGTTGATTGAATGCTGTCTTTGGAATATATAGTAAGTAAAAAAACCCAAATCCAAAGTCTTTTTTTTTGTAATTGAGAATTTTGCAGCATATCAAACTATTAAACATACTATCAAAGCAAGATGAGTTAACTGAATAATCCTGGTTAAATTTTAATTCAGATAATTACCTCTTACCAAAAAATCTTTCTCCTTTTTTTTCTCAAGCTATTCTTGTATCTCTTCTAACAAGCTGTCTTTGACTATTGGTCAGCCCAGAAAAAAAGTTATGAATCAGCAGCAAGGCCATTTACAAAGAATAAGAAAATATGTATGTGCATGTATATTTATGTAGCACACATATACATATACACACTTGCATATTACATATGAACATTGACATAGCCTTTCAAGTAGTTTGTTTTTAAAATCTAATTCAATTTAACCAATAAATTTTTTTCTTAGCTATCTTTCATACTTAAGCCCAGGGTGTTGTCTTTTTTTTTTTTTTACTATGTGTCACAAGGTACCTGAAGTACAGTATTAATAGCCCTACATGTGTTGTTGAATGATTAATGATAAATTTGGTAATCCAAAAATTGTTTTTATTTGGCTTTAGAATTTTTATATTTCTGTGGAGAATCAGTGTGACATAGTGGATAGAGAGCGAGCCTTGAAGCCAGGGTTCAAACCCTGCCTTTGACACAAATAGGTTATGTGACTCTGAAAAAGTTGCTTAACCTCTCAATGTTTTCAAAACTCTCTAAGACATTAAGTTGCAGAGAAGGTGCTGACCTAAATTGGTAGAGGGAATTTCCTCACCTAGGAGTTCTCCATACCCATGACATCACAGGTCCAGTCCCTATTTTTAGTTATGTATGGATTTGTCCCACATTATTATCTGAAGTAGGACTTCATACCTTAGAAGTAATGACATTGACTCAGAAACAAGCTAATACATCTTTTCTTCAGGGACTCCTTGCTCAAAATTCTTTTCTGTTCCCCACTACATGCTGAAATAGTATCATTTCATAAATGAATAAAAGCAACAACATGAACTGAGCTGTATAGTTCACCCTTCAACTTCATGGTGGAGTTGATTTAAGTATTTTGGCCTTAAAGACCTTTTGTTGGCCTGCATGCTGCACGGAGGAATAAAAATAAAAAGATCTCAAACTTTGTCAGGATAAGATTTTATCACCTACCCTGCTTAGTCATGTTAGGAAAAAATTCAAGACTATATTGTCTGTCTATAGGTGATTGAGAATTGATTGTATTTTTCCAGGTTGCTTAGTGTTACCATATGGATGTGAAAGTGAATAGTGACTACAAATGCCTGACTTACATTCTCTCTTGGAATATTTTTCTCATTAGATAGGATCTGTGCCACTGTATAGGAATCATTTAAGTGTGTTTACTTGAATTCATGGGAAATAAGGAATAAAGAGATTAGCAAATCAAATTTGATACAAATCTTGAGACAGTATACCAAGTACAACTGTGAAAAAGGAAAGGACAGTGGACAGCCATAAATGTTTATTGATAACTTTTGTTTTTAATTCACCTGAGTTTCTCTCTATATCCCTTCCTCTCTTTCTCCAAGAGAAAATCTTATAGCAAAGATTTTTTTTAAAGAAAAAGAGGAAGATAAAAAAAAATCAGCAAATCTGATCAGTATATCCAAAATATCTGATATGTTGTGTCCCAGACTTGTCAGTCTTCCCACCTCTGCCAAGAACGTGGAGGGAGATTTTTTATGTCTCTTCTTTGGAGCCAAGATTATTCTTTTTAATTTTGCAGCATCCATTATCAATTACTCATGTAGTAGTTCTTTCCATTTACATTGTTATCATTGTGTACATTTTTTCTTGGCTCTCCTTCACTTTGCATCAGTGCATGTAAGTCTTTCCATGTTTCTCTGTATTCATCATATTCATCATTTCTTGCAGCATAATAGTATTCCATTACATTCATGTGCCACAATTTATTTAGTCATTCTCCAATCAACAGGCATCTACTTTGCTTCCAGTTCTTTGTTGCTGCAAAAAGTGCTCCTGTAAATATTTTGGTGTATATGTCCAAACAATTCAAGTTTTAAAGTGTCTTAGAGAATTCTCAAGACACAACATGACAATAGGTAGTTATCTTTGAAGTCAGAAAAACCTGGGTTCAGTTACCACCTGACATATTAACTCTATATGAATTTAATAAGTTTCTACAGTGTATCAGGCACTGTGCTAAGCCTAAGGATATAAAGACTAAAGTGAAAACAGTCTCTACCCTCAAAGAATTTGCATTTAAACTGGGGGAAATAACAACCACACAACTAGGTACAAAATAGATAAAGAGGCAATTTCGGGAGGATGAGAGGGGTAAGATAATAACATCTGGCCAGTTAGAAAAGGCTTCATGAAGAATGTGGCACATGTGCCAAACTTTGAAGGGAGCTTTGGCTTCCAGGAGGTAGATGTGAAGGGTAGCATATGCAGCCATGAAGTGAGAGATGGAATGCTACCTATGAGGAGCCAGCAAAAAGGCCAGTTTGGTTGAACCTAGTATGTGTGGAAGGGAATATTGTGCAATAAGGTTAGAAAGGTGGTTGTGAAGGGTTTTAAATATCATACAGAGGACTTCTGTTTGATCTTCAGGAGTCACTATTGTAGTTTACTGAGTAGGTTAGTGACATCAGATTTGCGCATTAGGAAAATCGTTTTGGTAGTTCAGGGAAGAACAGATGGAAGAAGAGAGAGCATTGAGACAGGGCAACTAATTAAGAGGCTGTTGAAGTAGTTTAAATGAAAGCCTGAACTAAAGTTGTAGCTATATAAGTAGAGATAAGGGCATGGATGCAAGAAATGTTTGGGAATAAAAACAAGATTCAGTGGGGTCAATGAGAGTAAAGAGGTCAAAGATGACACAGATGTGAACCTGTGTGCCTAGAAGGATGGTAATGTCCTTTTGCAGAAACAAGGAAGTTCAGAAGAGAAAAAAAGATCATGAGTTCAGTTTTTGTACTTGTTGAATTTGAGATGTGTCCCCAGCGCTTAACTGCCTTCAAAATGTCCAGTAGGCCATTGATTATGTGGAACTAAAGCTCTGGAGAAACTAAGACTAGAAATATAGATTTGGGAGTCATTGGCATAGGGATAATAATTAAACTCATGTGAGATGATGAGGTCATGAAATGAGAGTGAAGAAAGAAAAGGAGAGGGCCCAAGACAGACCCTTTGGGTACAGTCAAGGAGCATTTTATGAATAATGATCTAAAAAAGGAAACTGAGTATTTGAATTCCTTCTTTTTGGCAGCCTGTAGTACTTCTTTGACCTGGAAGCTCTCTGGATTTTGTATATAATGATCTTGCAGATTTTCATTTTGAACTTTCTTTCAGAAGATGACTAGTAGATTTTTTTTTGTATTTTCACATTGCCCTTATCATTCTAAGAGTTCTTGGCAGTTCTCATTTAAAATTGCCAGAAATATGGTATCCAGGCTTTTTTTCTGATTATAATTTTCAGATCATCTGATAACTCTTAGATTGTTTTTCCTTAGCCTGTTTTCCAAGTCAAATTTTAAAAAAATGTTATATTGCTTAGACTTTCTTGTTTTTTCCTTCATTCTTTTGGTTTTGTTTTGACATTTCTTATCTTCTTAGTGAATTATTTTCTGCCTGGCGTATTGTAACTTTCTGAGCATTCAGTTCTTTAGTGAGTTTTTCCACTGTTTGTTTCAAGCTGTCGTTTTTCTTTGCGTTTCTTTCCTCCTTGGATTTTCCATTCTGAATCTCTTGTTTAATTTCCTCCAGGTAATCCTTAAGTCTCTATTGCTAGGACAGTTTTTTTTTCTGAGACTTTACCTGGACTTATGAGGTTGCTGTTGTCTTTGGGGTTCACCCCTAGAGTATTTCTCAAACTAAAGTATTACTTCATGGTGGCTGGTGTTTTCCTTGGTTTGCTCATGGGAAGCCTTCTTTTTGGTTAGGCTCTGAACCTGAATTTTGTGCACAGTTACTCAGTATAGTGTTCCAGACTAGATCAACCTTTCAGGGCTCTGCCTGGAGTCTCCTTCTTATCACAGGCTCTCTCTGCTGTAGGAAAACCTGAGGTTTTTCTCCTAATGCTAGGCTGAGGGATACTCTTGTGCTGTATTCCCACTATAGATTTCAGGCACTCTTTGGGGCTTGCTTTTGCTTTCCTTCCACAGTTTGGACTGGGTGTGTGGTGATTCTTTGGACCATGGCTAGAGCTCCCTATGGCTGCTTTCTGGGCTAGACTAAGGTTGGCCTCAGGCTCTGTTTCCTACAGTGCTTTGCTGGAACTTGGAGTTCAAGTCACAGTCATGGGTTTGAGGAAGCATCATGCCCAGCTGGGCAGAAAGTGCCATATTAGGTCTACCCGGAATATTCCTGAAGTTACTGTTCTGCAGCCACCCTCAAAGAAGATTCAGACTAGCCTGTATTGGGCTTGGGTACTGCTGAGCTCAAACAGGGAGTTCTGGGACTACCCTGAAGGTTCATAGGGTCCAGAGTATATTCTGCCCTCTGCACTTTGCTCTCTGCCTGCCTAGTTTGTCTCTCATAGGATCTCTTTAG